CGAGCAGGAGGGCCCCTCGATGCGAATGCCGAAACAGGGCAAGTACTCAGACCTAAACCGACCGGAGGCGTCTACCCTATGCCAGATCAGGACCGGGAAAATAGGACTATCAGCTTTCTTATTTAAGATAGGAGCCTTCGGTGTGTACTCGCCGTTATGCCGCTGTGGAGAGGCCCCCGAGACGGCAGAGCACGTAATCCTCTTTTGCGGCCTGCTGGAAGAATCGAGAGAGCGCCTACGGGCCACTATCGCACCATGGCCGCTGCATACACGTAGAGACCTGGCAACGGCGACGGGGAAACCAGTAGTCAGCGGGACTATCACAAGGTGGCTACTCAGGACTGGCCGGATAGCGCTTAGGCCCGGATAATATCGATCTTCTCAGGGGGACTTTGTTAGTAGGGTGAGAACTAACATAGTATTGTGGTGGACGTAACGCAGTCGCTAATAGAGCGAACATACGTAGCAGCGTATGTATTTAGTCCAGTCATTAGGGCACGGTTTGACATACGGGAGCACTTGTAGAGGTACCGGGGGCTTCGAGCCTACGGCGTATTTAATAATAATAATATTATTATGTGGGCACTGCAGAGGTGGGCTAGGCTACGGAGCTGGGCCCCCCCTGAGGTCCACGGCTTGCCAGATCTCCGGAGGGACGCCGGCGACACGCTTACGGCACGTACACATGATGAGAAGGCAAAATTACTAGCTGAGAGGTTCTTCCCAGACCCGTGTATAGATCTATCGGACCTCGATCGCGGCCTATTACAGACGAGACCAGAGCTGAACGTCCCTAGGGAGGTGACCACAATGGATATCGAGTCTATCATCAAAGGAACGGCTGCTTGGAAGGCTCCCGGCGACGACCTGATCCCCACTGGCCTGCTAAAGGCCTGCGGTGAACCCCTATGGGAGATTCTGGCGGATCTGGCAACAGCTAGCTTTAGGCTGGGGTACTACCCGGAGCGCTTCCGCTCAGCGAGGGTGGTTGTTATCCCTAAACCTAATAAAACGACAGCTCAGAAGCAGACCCCTGGCGGCTGGCGCCCCATTGCCCTGCTTAGCACGGTAGGGAAGGTAATAGAGACGGCGATGAGCCAGCGTATCACCAAAGTAGCTGAGGCGGCCGGCCTACTACCAAACGGCCAAATGGGTAACCGCGCTGGGAGGTCCACCGAACTGGCAATACGTATAGTTGAGGACGTGGTCTATACGGCGTGGAGACGCGGGGGCATCGCCTCGCTGCTACAGCTAGACATCAGGGGGGCATTCGATACGGTCAATTGCAGACGGCTGATTTCCATATTAGCCCGGAAAGGCTACCCGGAGTGGGTTCAGGAGTGGGTACGCAGCTTCGTGGAGGGTAGGACGGTACGCCTCCGGTTCGATGGCAAGGAGTCAGAGCCAATCCCCCTACGAGCTGGCGTCCCCCAGGGGTCACCGTTATCCCCGATACTGTTTATATTATACATTTCAACGCTGTACGAGGAGCTAGCGGAGCAGCACCCACTACTTTTAGTAGTCGGGTTCGCGGACGACACGAACCTGCTAAGCGTCGGCACCGATCCAGACACGACCTGCCGCCGGTTGGAGGACGCATGGGCTACGTGTCAGCGGTGGGCAGTGAGGCACGGGATGGAGTTCGCTCCTGACAAGAGTGAGCTAATGCACTTTACTAGGGCCCGAGAGCCCTTGCCGCAAAGTATTCGCCTTGGGGACGCCACAGTGTCGCCGGTAGTCTCAGCCAGGTTCCTAGGAGTCTGGTTCGACCGCAAACTGACGTGGCACGCCCATGTTGAGCGTGTTAAAACAAAAATGGCAACTCAAAAGCTAGCCCTGACAAAGCTAGTCAATATGTCGTGGGGCTGCGATCTTATACGGGCGAGGCTGTTATATACGGTGGTTATCCGTAGCGCGATCGCCTTCGGGGCGACTGCGTGGCATACTATAAGTGAGGAACCGGCAGGGCCAGCTAAGAGCCTGATGGGGATACAGAACGAGTGCCTCCGGGTAGTCTGTGGCGCCCACAAAGCGACGCCGGTTCGCCACCTGGAAGCAGAAGCAGCAATCCCGCCACTAGACCTCTATCTTAGTGCCCGGGCTGCTAAGTTTGAAGAACGGCTACGGCTTAGCGGGAAGAGAAATCTGCTTCGCAGCGCGAGCGCTAAAGCGTCACATATACTCCGGCAGGATAGGCCGGCGAAGAGGAAGCAGGCGTCGCAGCTACTCCGACCGGCAGGGTACACTATGGAGAAGGAGGCCCGGGGCTCCGAGTGGATGAGTGAGGAAAAGGAGGTCCCGGCTGCCCTCCTCGGCCACTGGAGGAAGAGATGGCTCACCGGAGCAGAGCATCACGATCGCCAGCGACGCGCTATCGCTGAGGAACCGGAGGGCCCTTCGATGCAGATACCGAAAGGGGGCAGGTATTTCGGCCTGAACCGACTGGAGGCGTCTACGCTGTGCCAGATCAGGACGGAAAAAATAGGACTAGCAGCCTTCTTATTCAAGACAGGGGCTTTTGGCGTGTACTCGCCGCTATGCCGCTGTGGCGACGCCCCTGAGACGGCAGAGCACGTAATCCTCTTTTGCGGGCTGTTGGAAGGACCGAGGGAACCATTACGGGCCGCCATCGCACCACGGCCACTATACTCTCGCAGAGACCTCGCAACGGCAACAGGAGAACCAGTAGTTAGTGGGACTATTGTAAGGTGGCTGCTAGGGACGGGTCGGACAGCTTCAAGGCCCAGATAGCATCGATCTTCTCAGGGGGGACTTTGTTGGTAGGTTGAGAACCAACGTAGTATGGTAGTGGACGTAACGCAGTCGCCAATAGGGCGAACCGACGACGCAGCGTATGTATTTAGTCCAGCCATTAGGGCACGGTTTGACATACGGGAGTACTAGTAGAGGTACCGGGGGCTTCGAGCCTACGGCGTATTTAATAATAATAATAATAAAACACTTTACATTCTGGTTCGTCGTGTTTGACAAACGTCATGTAGGTGTCGTTCACAAGCAATGCATGACAAGCAACTTTGATCCGAATATCAATGTCAATGATCATGTTTTGCATCCTAACATGGCTGAGGCAAGTAAAGGTATGTTAATGGGTGAGGGTAGGTCGGTGAATTATTATCCCATATGGTTGGACACATAAGTTTGTGCTCACGGTTTACAAGGTTCAAAGTGTGGAACCCCCACACGCACCACGGAATCCAAGCAGGCCATTTCAATGACTGGCTGCTCGTGTGTATCTAGTGACTTCACGGTAGTTGGCAGGATTGTGGAGGATTGCCTGCTTATCACCTTGGCAAAACCCAACGACAGCTTTCAAGTCAGATACTGGGGGCCGGTAGGCTTCCTTTTTGGTCACCTCTGCGATGTATCCCCCACGTTTTGATAAGTAGTTTTTCTAGGCACCCCCAAGAAACAACAATATGGAAAGCTGGAAAGCTGGATAGTTGTCTACATTCCCATTCCATAGATTCAGAACAGAATCTACGGGTTGGACATTGAAAGCGACAGCTATCTCCTTGGCTTTGAGGTGAAGGCAGTCTAGCGTCGTCGGCCACGTTCGACCCCTCCTCCCCCACGCTCCAAGTCAACGTACGATCAGGTCGGGCTTTATCTCGTAAATATTCTTTTGCTTCATTGTCGCGGAGTGTAGAGGGTGGACCCGAAACCAGGCGGCTGGCAGCAGGCAGCGAAAGAGGGTCAACATCTGAGCATCTCATGTTCACAATGCAAGGCATGGCCGCTGGGGGTAGTTCGGCGACGCGGCCAATGCGGAATCACACATGGAGCTTTAGCAAGGTATGGCATTGTGCTTCTTATTCACATTTTACCCATCAATGGTCTGGGAGAGTAAATTCAAGACCCAAGAGTCGTCATAACAAAGCACTGCCGTTGTCTTTCGGCTTCTATTACACCGCTAGTCCTGAAGTCAGGGGACGCGACAGGACTTCACGATACCCATCTGCTATTACACCAGCTTCGGGATGCTGGTTCGATGTGCCCATTTCTGGTCTCAAGAGAGCCATCGCTCCTGGCTCTCATGCCAAAAACACGGACAAAGCCAAACGACTGGCTTAGCAGGGCACCGTCCAGTCCGGTACGAAGCGATATCCCAGTTCATGCGCCCAAGTGGACGAAGAGCTTGCATCTGAGGGATTCCGGAAGATGCCTGAGAACAAGTGGCTCGAGTCGCTGCCGGGATGCGAAGCAGAGATCCGAGACTGACCCATGTCGTTGTCGACATGCACCTGTCGGTCGCAAGGCATGTTGCGGCTGTATCCATCCTCACCAACGTTGTGCCATCCATTGTCAGTGGTTTTCAAAAGCCCCAACCTGCCACCTGGCTGCAACATTCGCGCGGATGGGTTATCATGGCTGAAGGCTATCGTCAATGCAACAGGCGCCAGTCACCCGTGGCGCCATTACTCTCCTACTACCCATACAATGGCCTTGAGGCGTTCTTGGCCTCGAGGGCGACCGGATTAGGAAGCAGCCTAGAAGTGGTCAATTTGTGCCATTGTCTGGTTCCAAGGTTGTCGGTGAGGGGCATGATGGGGACGGCTTGGGGGGGGGGGGGGGGCTCCAAGCTTGAGGGGTTATCCCCAACGCTAAGCGGGCTAGGGTAGCTTAGTACCCTGGCCCATTGCGGGGTGCTCGTGCTCGTGGGCCGACTTTTTTCTGCCTCGACCCTGAAGTACCCGAAGTGACGGGATGCTAGTGAGGCAAGGCGGCCTGGCTCCAATTGACTTCTCAAGTTTCATTTTTCCCCTGAGCCGCTGCTGCACGCCTTCAGCTTCGTCTCGTTGTTACAATTTCTTTTTTATTCAGTTGTCTCCTGCCTTTATCCACTCGTCTTTGATCCTTTCTCTCTTTTCACTCTTCCCGTCTGGTATCCCTGGCTACGCAAACAAGTTCCATGCCCTGTCATTGCCTCACATGATTCCCTTGCTTGTTCCCCAATCTGTAACCGTAGCAAGTTGGCAAGCATGGCTCCCGGCACTAATGGCCGAGGCGTCCAGGTCGAGGACACCAAGATCTGTGTCGTGATGGTTGGGCTGCCAGCGCGTGGGAAGAGCTATATTGCACAAAAAGGTACTTGGAGTTTCCGTCATCACCCTACCTTGACTTTATCCAACAAAAGCCGGCTGCTAACTCACTTCCCACTCTGCAAAGCCCAGCGGTACCTCCAATGGCTCTCGATCGATGCCAAGACATTCAACGTCGGCAATTATCGGCGAACTGATGCCCCCCAGCCGTCTGCCGAGTTTTTTGAGATGGGCAATGCCGAAGGAGAGCGCAGACGACGGGCCGCCGCCGAGGCTGCCATGGCCGATATGCTTAGCTGGTTCCGACAGGGCGGTGTCATTGGCATATTAGACGCGACAAACTCGACCAAAGACCGCCGCAGGTGGGTTGTTGACACGTGCGCTCGCGAAGGCATCGAGGTGCTGTTCGTCGAATCCAAAAGCGACAATGAGGACCTCATCATGGCCAATATCCGCGACGTCAAGACGACGAGTCCAGACTACAAGGGTCAAGACCCGGAGAAGGCTGCCATGGACTTCCGCAACCGGATCAAAAACTACGAGAAGGTCTACAAGACAATTGACGGTGATGGCGATGAGAGCGACTACACATACCTCAAGATCATGGACGTGGGCGGCCAGGTCATCATCAACCGCATACAGGACTACCTGCAGAGTCGCGTTGTATACTATCTAATGAACCTCCACATCCGCCCCCGATCTGTCTGGCTGTCCCGGCACGGGGAGTCGCTGTACAATCTTGACGGGCGCATTGGCGGTGACGCAGATTTGTCACCGCGTGGCCATAAATATGCTCAGAAGCTGCCCGAGCTAGTTCGTAAGTCTGTTGGAGTGAGTATTGGCCCATATGCCCTTTGCGATATGTAAGTAATCAAAACTGGCTAAACCACACTTCTCTTCTCAAATAGTCTGACCGCCCCTTAACGGTTTGGACGTCCACCCTCAAACGAACTATCGCCACCGCGCGTTACCTCCCCGACAACTACAACCAACTGCAGTGGAAGGCACTCGATGAGCTGGATGCCGGTGTCTGCGACGGCATGACATACCAGGAAATCAAGGACGTCTACCCCGAAGATTTCATCGCTCGAGACGAAGACAAGTACAATTACCGATATCGCGGCGGTGAGTCCTATCGCGATGTTGTGATTCGACTCGAGCCCATTATCATGGAACTGGAGCGTTCGGAAGACATTCTCATCGTAACGCATCAAGCCATATTGCGTTGCATCTACGCATACTTTATGAAGAAGGACCAGTCGAGATCTCCCTGGCTCAACGTTCCTCTCCATTCTTTGATCAAGCTTACGCCTCGAGCATACGGCACAGATGAGGAGAGGTATCAAGCGGATATTCCGGCCGTCAGTACTTGGAGAGGGAAGGGCAGTACTGCTAAACATGAAGATCCGGCTGCGGATGCCACTGTCTGAGTAACTTGCTTAGTCGTGCAGTGTCATAAAATGGATCTTTGGGACTGTGGAATGAGACCGCCCAATGGTGAGCAACGAAGAACTTTACGGGCCCTGGAGTAATGAATGCGTATGGTAATCTGATGTTTGCAGGGCTATTAATCAGAACTACGAGCCGGACTGGGTGGGCTGGTTCTGATCATGGGTACTGGGATCAGGGTGTTGAAGGGATCAGTTCGACGATGCCATCATTTGCATGTCAGAGGATCAAATGGGCCGGACGGAACCATGCATAAATGGGTATGGGCATGAAGATCACTGGCGCTATTGTTATACAAATCGAATGGTTGCGAAGAATATGTCATACCTCAATGACTACAGGCTGTATGCATTGCTAAACGAAATCAGACCTCGATGCTTCCGAGCCAGATGTCGTTACTTTATACCATGCAGCCCTTTATTGACAAAACTCATGTCCAACCAACACGAGCTATGCCCGTTGCCATGACTTTGCCCTCTCGTACTACAATAGACCCACCTACTCATTTGAAGCAAAATTAAGCATATCTCCGCAGACGTCGTAGGATGGCAGCCCATCGCCCTGGTATATGAAACCAGCTTCCCATTGTGGGGCGTCCTCACCAACAATAGTGCCGTCCTGGCCGTTTTCGATACACAGGCTCTCTGCGGAGGATAGCTGGTTGCCGATAAAGTCGGTCGATGTCGTCAGCTGTGAACATAGAGCACAGAAGAAGCCCCAGCACGAGTTGTATTGGAAAAGAAGACAGCTATTGGCTGTGACGATGAGATTCTGGTTCGCATCGTAGACCTGGTCGATGACTATGTTGCAATCTGTTGGGGCTGGGGCTGGATTCTGGTGATGGCCATCAGTGATTATGCTAACCTGGTATTCAGGGGTGGGGGTGTGGGAGTTCAGGAGGGATAGGAATCGAGACAAAGAATTGCTTACGGCAGATTGACACTCATAGAAGTCGTTAGCAGTCACCTGGCGTTTTAAGAAGCGTAGATTCCGTAGACTAGAATCAGCTGAGTCCGGGTCGATGAGGTAGGCGGGCAGCCTGCTGAGGCTGCTCTTGCTCCGTTTCAACGAGGATTTGCCTATGTTGGTCTTGTAAGCTTGGGGCGCGGTACCGGGAACGCGGGCACTTTGCTTTGGTGAGGTGCTTGTTGACTGCTTGGGGCGATGGCATTTGCGGTGTGGCCTGGTGGCCTCAGCTTCAAAAGATACTGGGGCTATCAGACCAGTGGTCATGGTGAGAAGTAATAGGAGCTTCATAGTGTCCGGTTTGGTAGACTTATTGACTATGCTTGAGGGTAGGTTTAGAAAGAGTGGTAAGGGGTGGAGAAGATTTACTTCTACAAGAAGTGGCGCTATCCGACTTATACGTTGGCACTACATGAGGAGACCTGAAGGATTCGGTCGCACACCACAGAAAGCATTTGTATAGCACTCGTGGATGATAGTTTCCCTTCAAATATGTTCAGTTCGGGCCTCGATGCTACACAACGCCTATGCCGCTCCAGATTGGTCATTCGCCTGCCGCTCTCAACCCTCCATGACTTCCCGTGTCTGCGAAGACTTGACATTATTTATTTCTACCGGCCAATCATCATCAGCTCTCGGACCTGAATTGACGTGATCCCGCTATCCGGAGTTGCCCAGACCTGGCTCCTGGGACATGTCACTCGAGTGCATATTATCAGGAGTGGGGAATCCTAGTCGAGCTGCAGGCCTGTAGTATTCCTGCCGATACACTTATAATCTCAAAGTATGGGTATAATTATTGCATAGGCAACATGGGAGGATCAATAATACGGCACAGAGTCCATTTTCGAACTCGTAACCATTGTGAGAAGGGAGAAGGTACGGACTAGTCCAGCATGTAACACACTACGAGGACTTGGGTGCAAAACTTCTCACCTGGCCACGCTTTGGTACAACGTAGACACAAAATAACAGAAAAGGGACAGCATTTCAGTATATACGTTTTCCTGTCACCGAACCAGCAGTAGCCGTTGCTAATAGCACTTGGATATTTGTGGTTCTATATTATCGACCCCTGATCACGTTGAGGTGGCTTTTCTCCGCCCTCGGCCCTCATGTATCACAACAACGAACTTGAGAAAGCACGCGATGGGACGTGGCACTCTAAATCTGGACACATCAAAAGCGACATCAGCCCCGCTCCCTATATCTACTATGTAGTAAGGTCAAGTGAGGGGACGATCTAACCGTATTGAACACCTTTTTCCATACACCCCTATTTTACAAGGTTCGACTAAATTAACTGTCGTACTTCAACCTTATTAACAGTGAGGGATTCAACCCTCTATTAATGACGCTGCGTAGATCCTGTATTGATTAATCTGTCTATCTGCTCTGTTGTGTGTAGTGTGTAGCTATTTTATCTATAAGGAAGGGTTTGACCCTACTAGTGCAATTGCCGCTACACCGCCTTCGGCCTAGGGTATAACCGTGGCGCTTAATCCTACACGCCCTCTCGCTACTATAGGCTCTAGGGTCTAATTCCTATGAATACGGCTTCTTTATTACTTAATAGTAGTACGATTCTGCCGCCCTTCACCGCCGTCGCGCTTTACGTCTAGTACTCCTATCTCTAATAGTTCTATCCCTAATAGGTTAATAAATTAATTGAATTTAGCCCTATCTAAAGGCTTAGTAAGTCCGTTAGCCGGATTCTTATCGCTTAGTACCTAACGTAGCCTAACGTAGCCGGCTTCTACCTCTTAACTAACGTTATTAACGTCTGCACCCTCTTAGATATAGGGCTCGTAAGTTCGGCTTAGCCTTACGGCGTAGTCCTCTACGCGGCTTAATTATATCTTTATCTGTAACGTCTTTATATACTAGCGCTAGGGATCCTAGGATCCGTAAGTTAGCTATATCCGGTGTCTATTCGCCCTCTAACGCTAACTCTTAGTAGAAATACTCGTACGGTATTATACTTACTAGATCGTCCGTTATATCTATAATCCTTAGGCTAACTATCGTGTTATCTATAACTCGCTTCGTACTAGCGACCTCTTCTACTATAAAGCCGAATAATGACGACGGGTAGTGAAACCACCCGCAGGTTTAAGGTGTAAAATGATGGCAACGAATAACAAGATCCTCAACAAGACCTTACTATCCGGGAGGTGGAAAGAAATAACAAGATGAAGAGCTCGTTGCCCTGATCGGAACGACAAGTACCTCAACAGGTACTAACAACTGTAGCCTCAGCAGGCACAATCAGATCTATAGGGGAACAGAAAGTACCTCAACAGGTACATCAGACATTGAATGCCTGTTCAAGTAAAGAGAAATTGGTTCAGATTACTGTGGAAAAGACCGCTTGGATTCCTATCTTTTTCTCAAGAGAGTGACTATGTACATAAGGTCTTAAATACCCTTCAAGAACGCGCTTACATAACTCGTCTGAAACCGGAAAAAAACGAAAACGAGCACCCAAAAACCCTAACCCCACGTCAATAACTATAGGGCGCCGTCTAGCTCTAGCTCTAGCTCTAGGGCACTTAGGTAGTGAAACGGGGTCAGGCGGTCAGTAGGATATACCTACCACCTAACACACTGAACAGACGGCTCCAGTACCAACAGATCCCATCTGGTGGTCTTATCAGACGAAGATCGTGGTACTGGTTATAAGAGTGAAGCTCTTATACGTCTGGTGCGCGAGTTGGTCGGATGTGCCTCTGAGACTCGTATCGTGATAATAGGATCTCGAACGTAAAGATAAGCTGAATAACTAAAATAACTAAATACCTGACTGAAAAGCGAAGGTGAAGATATAGATAAGGAGATGATGATGCATGAAGATGGGGGACTCGTGTCCTACTCTGCCTCTGTGCCTCTTAAAAGAAGATAAAATAAACTTTATCCTAGCCCCGTAACCTATTTCCCTGATGTCCGGCCTTACCCCGTTACAGTAGTCTACGTGATTATTTCGTATCCTCTAGGGCTCTTTCTTCCCGAATTACTATAAGAGCTAGCCTCTTCTCTTAACGTCTATTATTATAATTACCGTGCTAGTATTACTAACGATATCGTTACCTCGGATCGTACCGCCGTTAAGGTAGAATAGCTCTCCCGAGAATACTTTAATAGGAAACTTAGGTACGAATAGTATAACGTGGTTTAACACCGAGTCGCGCACTTTTTACCACACTATAATTTCAAGTTCAATTAAAAAGCCACAACAGACTAAAGTTTATTGAAATTTATTCAGAGCTATATACATCTGACAATTATAGTTCGACCTGACAAGTCTTTACATTATGTCCGGTCTTCTTACACTTACTACATCGTCGTACAGTCGACGGACCAGCCTTTTCTTTACCCCCCCTAGAGCGCTTGTCCTCCTTTACCTGGGCCTCCGCGTCCTTCCGGGCCAAAATGTCCAGGGCATCCTCGACAGGAAGTGCACCTCCTTGCCGGACACGCGATTTTTTTGCCCTCCGACGCTTGCTTAGTGCCTCATTTGCCTTGCGAAGGGTGGAGCACTCAGCCTTCAAGAGGGTATTCTCATGGGCTAATCGAGTTATACCCTTCGCGAGGTGGCCAACAGCATCAAAGATTAGGGTCGGAGAGTTTCCCTGATGTCTGGTGATTCGGCGATTGACAAAATCGGACTGCGAGAGAGCCTCTGTCGGGTTATTGGGCGTTTGCGAAACCCAAGGGTCAGCATCTAGAAGAGAGGGGCTAACGGGTGTAGGCGACCGAATCCTAACATCCAGCTTCGAGATAACGGCTTCAGGGTCGTGGGGGACTAGGCCGGCCCCTCGAAACCCTGCCTTGATGTTTTTGTCGGTTAACGTGATCCACAAGTCATTTTCGCACACAAGTCACTTTCGCACTTTTCTTGGCACCTTCAAGTAATTCAGTAATATCCTATGCATAACCCGCATTTTATCCTTTAAATTACTCAAAATCTTCTTCATTATCAGTTTCTACTTCTATTGAACAAGTCCTTGCATTATGTCCAGTCCCTCCGCAAATACCACAGCGCCTTATACCGGTCTGCCGGCGCTTTACAGGACGACTGCTTTCCCCTTCTTCCTCCTCCATAACCTTGATATCACCCCTCAAGGCCCCTAAAACTTGTGCATCACCTATACTAAGTGCTCCTCCATATTGGATTTGCTTATTTTTCGTCCTACGACGCTTACTTAGTATATGGTTCGTCTCACGAAGCTCTTCGTTCTCCCGACGTAATAATGCATTCTCATGCATCATTGCATGCGTAGCCTTCGTAGTCGAGTTAATTGAGTTCAAAATATGCGTCGGCGAGCTGTCTTGATGCCTCTGGACGCTACTTTTAATCAAAGTTGACTGCGATTCGGCTTCGAGGGTGTTGGTAGGCGTCTTAGAAACCCAGACGGAGGGAGGCAATTGGGGGTCGAGTGTCGGTGTTCGTACTACTTTTGCGATATCCAACGTAGATATGACCCTATCCGGGTTAAGAGGAACAAGTCCAGCTGCTTCGAATCCTGATCTGATGTTTTTTTTGTGAAAAGCACCAATGAAAGCTTCTAAAAATCCAGCTAAGAAATCCTGCTTCTCAATATGGGTTTGATGCCTTCGCATTAAATCCTCCACGAACGCACCGTACAGCCGTTTCAACACACTAAAAGGTACCAAATACAAAGGCTGGAGCTTGTGGGATGAATGGGAAGGCATACACAATGTAATTACGCCGTGCGCCGCGAGGTAAGTCTCAAAATCCATCGAGTGGTGGCTCTCGTGACCATCCAATATTAAGAGACTTTTCGTACCCTTCCGACGGCTAATAATATGTTGAACAAAGTGTTTTGCCCATTCCACACCAATATTATTAGTAGTCCAACCGTTATGGGAAAGGTCGACCTTCCAGTTGGCCGGTAGGTCGTTACCGCGATACCACGAAGCAAGATGAACCTTGCCCGCGAAGATGATGTACGGCGGTACCGCCCAACCTTGCGAATTAATAGCCTGGATCACCGTAACCCATTCCCGACCTCCTTGTGTAGCCTGTCTAGGCCGTCCGTGTCTTTCTGCACTCGTTACAACCATACCGGTTGTGATTATGCCCATTAGGAAGCCCGTCTCGTCAAAGTTGTAGATATCCTCCGGTAGGATACCGTATTTAGCGATTGTGTCCCTAACAAGCTCAAACCACGCGTAATACGCGATAGGATCTTCGCTAAATACCCTCTGGTAATCAATTCGACGGTTTAAACGCGTTCGGAGGTCTTGTCGGCGGTTAACGAAGTTCGTGG